GCTAGATATGGAATGTAAGTAATTGCATTATGCAAATATATATTAACCCTTGTATTCACCCTTCCACCCTTCTAAACTCCTTTATCCGGTACAGGGTCCCAGTTGGAGCCAGAAACTAACCCAGCAAGCAAAGAGCACAAAGTGGGGTGGATCTTGGACAGGATGCCAGTCCATCACAGGGCACACACTTATAACCCAGTTCCCCTGCCAGTATGTCTTTTAACTATGGGAGGAAATTGGAGCACCCTGAGAAACCATGACAACATACAAATGCAAATACAGACAGTACCCTGAGAATTGAACCCAGGGCCCCAGCACTGTGAGGCAGCAATGCTAACCACTGTTCCATCGTGGTGCTCCTATCCTTTGTGTTATTGCTAATAATTATGTTTCATAATATTCTAATAATGGTGCCCTACACTGGAATTCATCCTCCTTTAATGCGGTTGTACAAAAGCTGCGCGGGACTAATTGGATGTACTGGAACACTCGTATTAGAAGGGGCACTATAGTTTGTATAGTTTCAGGTGTGATGAAGTGAATGTAAGAAACTGCTTTTCTTAACATTAAAAAAAACGGAGAAGGGAGTTTGGCTGCTTAGCTGTGTGTAACTGACTGTAACCTTTCAGTATTTAAATTTGGGGAAAAACCTGTGCAGAACTACTGATTTAACTCCTCTTGGTGGAAAGTAAGCAAGGAAAAATAAAATGTAACAGATCCAATTTTAAATCACGCTGCAATCACAGCAGAAAAAAGAAACAGCCCAGTGATGAGGATCCAGAATCGGCCTTATCACGTTCGAGTTTTTTTGTATATGTACTGCCTTTTAGTTAGATCTCTATTTTATTATTATATTATGTAGGCAGCACTGCAGCTAATCCCCCTGATATAAAGTCCTTCATAATCTTTGTGATACTGTACTGTTCCGCTTCTCTCTGTATGTAATGTGTTTCACTGCCAGTTGGTGTTTGTTGTCACACTGGGGTCAGTTTGGGTTGATGTCTTTAATACAGTATACAGCTTTGAATCTGGAAATGACTTAACATTATTAAAAAAAACAAAACAACTGCAGCCCTTCAACAGCTTCTGATCCAATTACTGCATATTTATTGACCATGTCCAACAGTAGAATACTGTCAATAGTGGTTATACAGATGTGCAACTTTGCCAATACTGTAGAATTGTTTTGAAGTGAAATGGTAGTGAAAACATTTTTGTTTTAGCAAAAAGTGGTTACCTGTAGTCTCTGTTTTTTCATCGGAGAGCTGCTCTGAAATATCCTGTCATTTGCATTGAAGAACTCTGATACTCTAGAAGTAACTAGACTGATGTGGCTCATAGTACAAAGTACACTTAGTGCTCTGAAAGCAAATATGCCGTCAGTGGTTACCAGGGTAGCAGGGTCATTGCATTAAGATGGACATGTGCTTTATAACCTTCCTTAAAATATACCCCACATCCTTTGGAAACTTGCAAGAGTCGTTCTGCCATGCCAACAGAATAAAACAGGCTATTATAGACTGCTTTTCTCACTCACCCCAAGTTAGGCCTCCTAAAACAATTAGCCACACATCAATCAAAGGTGAAACAGAAATGTTCAGTGTGCATTTTATTATGAAACAATGGTGTATTGTCCCAGTAACAAAGAGAAATTAGGAATTATGAGAACATTTCTAAAAAGATTCCCCAGTCACTGTTTTTTATTGTTATTTTGGAGTGGTCATGGGCAGAATTGTTGGAAGAATTGCAGAAAGCAACACTTCATGAAGTGTAGTCTCCTTCCCAGATTTGTTGCATGACTCATTGGGACCACTGTGGTCAGGATGCATCTATTCATCCAGTTAATATTTTATTATAATCCACTGTTTGGTGTTTTGCCTTTGTAGTATTTAAGCTGGAAATGCCTTTTGGAAATGTGAATAAAGATGACCAGCATATCTTCATTTCTGCATTAATTTTCTAAAATCAGTCATGCAATGCACGTTAGAATAAATAAACCTTTTCAGCATTTTATATGGAACATTTGAAATCGTTTAGGTGATTGTGAATCTTATTTATTCTGTAGAAAGCCACGTTCTGTTATATTTCCTAAATAAGGTGAAGCTTACAGATTCTATAAACGTTGGCCATAGCAATACTTTGTATATAGCAGACCTAGAGGTGCTTTTCTGTGGGAATATAAATAAATCCTGGTTGCTGCAGAATGTATCAGGATAGGTTTACAGGAAGAGGGAGTCTGTTGCCCATGAAGGGAATTTGCTTTCAGATTTTCAGAAAGTAATTGGGAGAGCTTAAGGCGTCACATGTAGCAGTTGAGCTGGAAGAAGTAAAAGGGAGGGGGTGATGTGTTTGTGCTAGAACTAAAAAGCATTAAAAGCCATCCTGTTAATGGGTTAGACTTTGGGTCTTTTCCTGTGACAGCTACTGTACATGCTTATGTTGCAGGACACATTTGATCAAAGACCGAAGTTACAGTACAGTTTTAATTTTTCAAGGAATTGTTTCCCCTTTGAATTCTGAAAATGTTACTTCTAATATAAAGTAGTGCAGAAGCACTACTGAAATAGTGCTTCTGTAATAAAGGTCTCATCTACACAAGGTTCTGATGGGATTTGAAGCACATAAGCCAGTTATCAGGGGTGTGTAATGAAACATTGTATTCCCAAACATGAAAGGTGAATCCAAAAGCTTCACATAGGTGTAAAAATGTGGATATTTAAATTTACACGTGCTGCTTGTGATAAATGCATATCAGAATATACAGGTGATATGCAGAGTTGGAACGAGGAAAGCAATAACAGCACAGTGTTCACAAATTTTCTTAATGTAAGATGCCTAACTTGCTGCTGAAAATGTACAGGCTGAGATTCTTTTAATAAAAACTGCCATGGAAGATGGAAGGTTTATCTCAACATGAAAACGCCACATGTACAGATGGGGGAAAAAAGAGGTAAAAAAAAATGTCAAGACCTTGAAAGACTGTGATACCCATAAAATTGTTTTAAATTGGAATGTCATATTTTAAATAAATGTTTTAGGAATACTTCATGTGCTCCAAAAGCCACAATGAGAACACTCTTCTTGACAAAAATTGCTGTAAAAGGGTTCTCTAAGTTAAGTTATGATTTTATTATAATAATGCTATGCTTCGTTAACTGAAACTACTTCATTAAAATGTTGATTGAAAATTGAGATAAATGTGGCTCTACAGAGGGGAGCTGTTCATTTAAACGGGCATCTGGGCTAATATACTGAGACTTTTAGATTTCATTTCAGCCACTGTATGCATGGAATAAGCATTATACTGTATGTTCTCTCAGTATTCTGTGTCAAGCATTGGATGAGCATTGTTCTGACAGGATGCTATAATTCCTCAGCAGTGTTCAGGACCAAGGGAAATTAAAAACAAAGGTACTGCTTTGTTTACACGATACAAAGGAGTACCTCTGACTGCTGATCCGGCTACCGTGATAACTTGTCTTCCAAGTAAATCAACAACATAACCAATCTTTTATAGTTTTATTTTATTACCAATAAAATACTGTCACTACTGTATTAGTATTTTTCCCCTTCAGAATTACTGGCATTGCATGTTTTGTAAACTACCAAATTTGACATACAGTATAATAGGAGTTTTACTTGGTGCTCTTTAGTTTTTGTTTTGTTAGAGTGTGTGCTAATGTCCCCTATCTTGACATTAAACTATAGCTTTGTTCATTTTGTAGCATCAGAAAAAATACACCTGTATGTTTTGTTTGTTTTCATTCTCCAAGGCCTTGTGCTTTCATCGGACTTCAGACCTAACAGTTTTTCTGTAATTGGACTCTAAAATGCTTGCTGTGGGTCAACAACCTTAAGTCCCTGTTTATTCTTAGAAGTTTAATTTTTATTTACTTTTTAAAAACATTCATGCACATGCCATTCATCATTCCTGTAACGTGGGCATTTTATGTGTGCTCGTTCTGCAGGATGAGATTGGCGTGGTGTTTCAGAAAATGGTTAAAAAATCCTTTGATTAGCAGTGGGGTGTTAAAACAAGACTTTTCCTAATTAGACTCATTTATAATTACATCATGTACGTCAAACAATTAAAGGTTTACATGCTTATTTTATACCCCAGGGTAGGTTTTTTTTACACTTACCAATCCCAGGATTCTCAGAAATTTAAAGAACTTCTGAATTGCACCTGAACTGCACTAAGTACTGTGCCTCAGAGAATGCAGTTGTTAATTGAGCAGCAGTATAGTGTTAAAAGGCTTCGGGTGTGTCAGCAAGGACATTTTGGGAGCTCCAGTCTGTGGTAATTCAGTTAAGAGCCCTTAAATAAGGGATTTTGGTTTTGCTTGGTCTTTTCAAATCACTGTTGGTTTATATTAAGGGAAATTAAAGTTCGAATTAGCTCTGGCAGCAAGTGTGAAGAGTTCAGTAGCCTCTTTATCTTCCTTGATTTTGGCTTTTTTTTGGGCTGGAGCGAAGGATGATGTAAGCTTTAGGCCTGGGATCACTTCCCACACTGAATTACACCCCGAGCTGACTGGTCACATTCTGCTTTTAGCTTTGGATTTCTCCACTCGGCCTTAATGGCTTTCCTCTCTCCTCTTCTGGTTGGCACCAGCTACTTCTTTGTTGCTGGCACCACTGCTGTCAGGGTCCGGTAGCAGCCTGTTTAAATGACATAATGAATGTGGAAAAGGTAATGGTCATTAAGACCATAATGAATGAGGAAAAGATAAGGCTCATACTTGTGAGTAAGTATGATTGTTTACAGAATTAGCAACCATAGATATTTTAATTAATATGTTGCTTCATACTGTAATTTTTTTCACTGCAAACCCTGTTTAAAGCTGTTCCAGTTTGTGCACTTAGTAGTTTTGCCCACAAGCATTCTGGCACGTCAGATGACAGACCACTGCTACAGCAGGGCTTGGTTTGGGAACCCCCATTTGGGTTTGGTTTGTGTCAGCAAAAGCCCTGACGTGACCTTTTGTTCTTCTTTTCAGATGCCCCTTCAACAGAACAGCAGGAGCTCTTCAGCCAAAAGCTGCAGCAGTGCTGCATGTTGTTCGATTTCATGGACTCGGTTTCGGACCTCAAGAGCAAAGAGATAAAACGCGCGACACTGAACGAGCTGGTGGATTTTGTCTCTACGAACCGGGGCGTGCTGGTTGAGTCGGCCTACTCCGACATAATTAACATGGTAGGTGGCTTCGTTTCTTTTCCTTGTGTCACACTGGCTGGTTGTGATGCAAAAAGAGTTCCAAATGGCTTAAATAGTATTGGAGAGAAGTAAGACTGAGTTGATAATATGATGAATAATAATAATAAAAATTACTTACACGTATGTAGTGCTTTTCTGGACACTCCACTCAAAGTGCTTTACAGGTAATGGGGACTCCCCTCCACCACCACCAATGCGCAGCAACCACCTGGATGATGCGATTGCAGCCATAGTGCACCAGAACACTCACCACACATCAGCTGTTAGTGGGGAGGAGAGCAGAGTAATGAAGCCAATTCATAGATGGGGATTATTAGGAGGCCATGATTGGTAAGGGGCCAATGGGAAATGTGGCCAGGATGCCATGGTTTCACCCCTACTCTTTTCGAGAAGCGCCCTGGGATTTGTAGAGAGTCAGGACCTCTGTTTTTACGTCTCATCTGAAGGACGGTGTCTGTTTACAGTATAGTGTCCCCATCACTATACTGGGGCATTAGGACCCACATGGACCGCAGGGCTGCTGGCCCCACTAACAGCTCTTCCAGCAGCAACCTTAGTTTTTCCCAGGAGATCTCCATCCAGGTACTGCCAGGCTCACACCTGCTTAGCTTCAGTGGGTTGCCAGTTGTGAGTTGCAGAGTGATATGGTGAAATGCAATGCTGTTATTACCATTGTTTTTCAAGCTGAGTTTGATAAATTGATGTTAGTGAGGGATGAAGAAATTATGTCAGTAAAATGTACTGAACTGGGGGTCATGGTGCTACAAAATTGTGTCTATAAAAATATACGACAAACCCGCATAATACTTCAGCTTCTGCCTCAGGATACCACAAATGTTAACTTCCACCATTTAAAAACTGGCAACTTGTTTCGACTTTCCAGTGCTCCTTCAGATGAGCTCGCCATGCCACCTAGCACTTCCTTAACTTGCTCTGTCACTCTTCTTGAGCATTGCAAGAGCATTGTAGCTGCCTTTGATTCGAAAAGAGAGGCCTGTGTCTGAGTGGGCTAAGCTGAAATAGATTTGGAGAGTGTTTATTGACTGATGGCTCTGCTAGCTAAATCTGCTGAACTTCAAAAGAGTGCTATTTTCCCATCTTGGTTTTGCAAAATTGTGTCATGATAACCACACTGGAAAAGCAGAGCCAATGGATGACTCCTATGTTTCAGAGATGTGGCCAGTTCCTGAAGCAAAATATGAATTCTTTGCAACAGGTTGACATTCAATATTCATGTTGTAGCTCTGTTGTGTATAGCTCCTTTAGGATACCCTGCTTCCCAACCCTATGCTTTAAATGAAAAAAGTGCATTCAGTGTCTTTTCAACTGTCTGTTGTACTAGTCTGTGTACTAATGAGGATTTAAAGCAGGCGTTGATCTTCCTTCTCACTGAGCTTGCGGTGAGGAAGTCTTGCCTCTCCCTTTTAAAGTGATTCAGGATGCGATGCCAAAGTGTGGGATTGAAATAAGAGGACACATTGATTTACATCTTGGCAGTATAAACCCATAATCAAAACGAAATTGAGTACACTCATTTTCTAAAAGTATTTTTCATAGGCTAAATGCATATAATGGTTGCTGTTTTCTGTTAGTCTCTTTCTGTAACCTTAAAATATCACTAAGAGAAGTGGTGTTTTGCAGAAGTGATAAAAGCCATCTCTTCAACAGCATCCTACTCAGTCGAGAGTGTAGAGGCTTGTGCAAAGGAAAGGATATGGTATCCATGTGGCTCATCATCTGTTCATCTCAGTTTCTCACAAAATTCCATCTGCTACTTTTCCTTTTACTTTTTACTTATATGTCATTCTGGGTTTTCAAGTTTAAATACCCCTCAGACCCCATACCCCTGGATTCCATACAGCTTCAGATGGTTTGAAAGGTTCAGATTCTGTAAACTCAATACGACTAGCTGGAGTCTTTCTGCTAAAAATGAGTTTTGAGTTTGTGTGGTAACCCTCATTAACATTGTCTAATAAGGTTTTGAGAAGCGTAAATTGTGGTTGAGTATGTTTATGACTTTAATGAATGTTTTTTTTTCCATGAGGAGCAGTGTGGAAAAAGTGTAAATACAAAGACCCAACATCATTATATTTCCATTATGTCTGTTTTTAGAGTATGTGCAGTCAATGCCTTTGGTATTCATAATTTTCTTAAAGGCTGTTCTTGTTTTTTGGGTGTTCCTGTTGATGGAGCCTCTGTAGTTTTTAATACGTGTCCCACAGAGCCACCCATTATACACCTGTCATGCACTTTTATCCAGAAAAAAGAAAAGAACTTTTGCGAAAGAGATCACTAAAGAGCAAAACAAATCTGGCATGTCTTCTAATACTCATCACAACACTTTCAATAACTGCTTATCCAATTCAGGGTCACGGTAGCTCAGAGCCTTTCCTGGGAAAAATTGGGTGCAAAGTAAGATACACCCTGAACAGGACACCAGTGCATCACAGGGCACACACAGACACAGACACAAACACACACTGACTCACACCAGGGCCAGTTTTTACCAAAACCATTTATACCACCAGGAGGTCTTTGGACTGTGGGAGGAAACCAGAGCACCTGGAGGAACCCCATGTAAACATGGGTAGAACATACAAACCCCATGTGGATAGCACCCTAGGAATTGATCCCAGGGCCCCAACACAGCAAGGCAGAAATGCTAACTGTTATGCCACCATGCTGCCCTCTTCAAAAACTAATTCAGAAAATGATGGTTATTTTCCAGTAATGGAATCTTTCCCTGCCTGGGAAATATACTGTATCTGCTGTGCCATGAGCTGCATGTGGAGAAACAGAATTTGAATTTATGCAAGGTAATTTAAAATAAAACTTCTAACAGGAAGCAAAGTAATATTTGTTGTATTCTGCAAAAGACTGATAAAGACATACATAGATCATGTACTTTTTGACTTATCTTTTCTCCAAAAATATTTAGGCCTATTGCTATTCTTGCATCAGTGTGACTCATATTGCCATACAAGTGAGCTGCTTCTCTGACGCATCTAGAGCTTGCCAAGGGCAATGCTAATTAAATACGCTGAGGGATAATCTATAGACACTGTATGGGTCCTCTTCAATGTTTATCCCATAGAGCATTGTGAGGGGACAGACTTGCAATAACAAGACTCAGATTCTTTAATGCATATGTAATGGGGCTCGTTTGATATACTGTATTTCATAAGGGGTTTGCAGAAGTACAGTCACCAGTGCTATAATAAAGATTTTGTTATCAGAAAGTGGGGGCTTTGTGCATTCTACAGAAATTCAGTTCACATAATTTCAGTGTAAATTAAAAACATATTTCTGTATGTTCAACCCATTTTAGGTCTATAACTGAATGATAATGGTCCTAATTTGAAACACTTTTCTCTTGCATCCTTGTGAAAGGTCGATTCCCTTACTTTCTAATTCCCTGTCTCCTTATGAAAACAGGTCTAGAAATACAGGCACTTAGGTGTGAACAGGGAAATGCACATTTCTCTTTGTTCATTGGTTTCCTAGGGAGCTTCTAAAGATTGCAAGCAATTCTGTTAAACATTTGAAGGATTGCATGGGCTTTTTTTGTCATATAATAGAGCATTTGACAAGTTTCACAGAAACTGACTTGCGTGCTTTGTAGCTGAAAGTAAAAAAAAAAGTCTCATGTTGTTTTTGGACTGTTAGGTATTTTATTTTCTGCTTTGAGTGAGCTGGCACATTAAACCAGATCTGATCTTGTTGTTTTGAGTGTGCCAGTCTACCTCTCCTTCGCCTTTGACAAACGGCACCAGTTGACCACGTTCACATTAAAAGGGGTATGATTGCACCTTTGTGTCAAACGACATCGCTGTGCCTTTGGCCTCTTGATGTATGATTTGGGTTATCTTGCAGGCAGCAAACACTTCCTCCTCTTCGGCTGCTGTCTGGTTTTGGGATTTGTACAGTCATTGCAATGGGCCATCAAAATACTAGATGAAAAAAGACAGTACATTACAGCATAATTATAAAGGATTAAGTTTTGGGTGATTGATTACCTTTGTATTAGTCTCATAATATTTGGAAACATCCCAGTGCAATGTTCATAGTGGACAGGCAAAGAGTATGAATAGGGATATGAACTGGAAGACATCTTTACACATTACTCTTCAGTCCCAATTAGCAACAACATAGCTTCACAGTTTGTCCTACAGTACACTGATGCTCTCTCTATGCAGACTTTGTGTTTCTGTGTGTAAATTTCTTTGGTACCTTGTGTACTGGGCTGCTTTCATAAGAAGCATTTTTTGTTTCCATCACAAAGTCTTGGAGATGGGAACAATTCCCATTTCCTGGTGTTTTAGTCCATTTCAGACTTTATGAGCTGCAAGGTCTTTTACAAATAAGGTCTGAAGAAGCAGAAAAGCAAATCTGTGTATATTTAGCTGCACATCTATATAGATTTACTCATAACATTTCCAACACTCGGTGTTGTGCACAAGCATCTTTTCTATAACCAAGGTTTAATTCAAACTGCTCTGCAGTGGGAGCCTACAGTATGTGTTCATGTGAGATCTTTGTCTTTCTTTTCTGAAATTATAAACATTTGAACTATAGGACAGATTGGACATGAAGGTGTTTTCTCTTCAGCAGACAGTAATCTTTTCTTGAGTGCAAGGTATCCTTCATCTTTGCCATTTACTTGGAGGTTGCATTGAAGCTGAAGTGTTTTATTTGACCTCTATTTATCAGCACTGTATCAGCTCGCTTGTTCTGTTACTGTACTGTATCCGAAAGCACTACAGCTCAGGCTGCCTCAATCTTCAGAAGATATTAACAGGAATATCTTATTTGTACCATTCTCAATATAATGTAGCCGGTTCATCCTCTAATTTATTTAAATAATTTACTATAAACATATATGTATATATTAAATGTGATGACAGACTGCACTGGCAGATTGCAAACTATGCATTTCCTCCAAGAAAACAAGGTTGAACACACGACGCATTATTTGTGAT